TCTCCATATGCTGCAGGCACCTGCGAGTATTACCCTTGCTGCTCCCATTGGCCATGGTAGGAGGTTGGGGGTGGGGGCAGGGCATGAAGACTCCCTTCTTCCAAGGAGTGTGTGCTGCAGAGAGACCCACATGGTGGTCCTAGCGACCAGCTGCTTTGGAGCAGTGGTCTCCAACCTTTTTAACCACAAGATCACTTTTTCAATTGAAGTGCAGTGTAAGATCTACCTCAAACCCAAATAGCCTTACCCTGCTTCCTTCCCGCCCCTTCTCTGAGGCCCCATCCCTGCTCCACCCCTTCTCCGAGGCCTCATCCTGCCCACTCCATCCCTCTTCCTGCCCAATCCTCACTCACTTTCACCAGGCTTGGGTAGGGGGTTGGGTGCAGGCTCTGGTCTTGGGCCAATAAGTTTGGAGTGTGGGAGAGACTCTGGGCTTAGCCCAGGTGAGCGAGTGGGGTCCAGGAGGGGTTTCAGGGTGCAAGCTTTGTGAAGGAGTTTGGGTGCAGGGGTCTTATGTCTGGGGCAGGAGGCTGGGTGGAGAAAGAAGTTCAGGAAACAGGCGTATAACTGAGATGGCTTCTGGGTGGTGGAGCAGTGCTGTTAAGGCAGGCTTACTCCTGCCTTGGCCCTGCACCACTCCTGAAAGCAGCTGGCATGTACAGCAATGGCTCCATGCACCATGTGCTGCCTCTCATCTACAGGCACTGAGCCGACAGCTTCCAGGCAAGGACAGCACCCCATGCTCTGTCTTTCTCAGGGGCTGCAAGGACATGCCAGCCACTTCCAGGAGCAGCAGTTGCCATAGGGTTAAGTACTCCAGCCACGGCAAGTTGGGCATTTTAGAACTCACTACTCAAAGAATTAAATTTAAGAGTAAGAGAGAAATGAAAACTATGAATTGCACAGACCAGCCAAAACCCAAAACTAATCCACTTGGCAAGCAGTAAAAGAAGTAACAAGAACCCCCCACGTATGTGTTGGGTCGGGAGAGGAAAGGGAAAGACAGTGTGTGTTGGTGAAAATGACAGACACAGCGTGTGAGAGTGACAGAGATTTGCATTGCCACGCTTGCTCCATCCCCTTCACTATGTGTGGAGATAGGGTACAGAAGTGGGGGAAGGAGGGACACCCTGACTTAGGGCCCCCCCTCTCCCTCCCACATCCTGCCAACAAGCAGGAGGCTCCTGGGGGGGGGGCAGCTCCGAGGCAGAGGGCAGGAGCAGCAGGACAGAGATTGGAGAGGCAACTGAAGTGCCAGCACTTGATAGCTTCTTGGCCAAACCAGTCAGGATCCCCTGTCAGAGGCTCCAAGATCTACCAGTAGATCCCGATCCACTGCTTGGTGATTGCTGCTTTAGAGTGTGAGCAGCGAGGTAGCCTGCCTGACATTCCCACTGAGCCACGGGGAAGGGGGGTGGCGGGGTGGGGCAGATCCAAATGTTTGGCAGACCAGATGTGGACCACACCTGGTGTAGATGCAGTTAGGTCAATAGACAAATCCTTCCAGCAGCAACCCTACTACCTGTCAGAGAGCTGGATCAACACCATCAACAAAAACCCCTCTTTCAGCCAAAGTAGAAAGTGCCTACACCACTGTGTTACGGTGGCAGGGCTGCAGCTTAGATAGAATCCCGGTACCTCGCTGTCTGAGCAGGCTGCTCTGTTGTGCAGGATGGGGGCTTACTACGGTTTGGTTTTGTTTGGTAGATGTTAAATGCTTTGCTGCTTTGTCAGGGAACTCCCTCCTCTGAGGAGCAGCCTTGTAGGTGAGGTGCCTACTCTGCTTGCCTAAGCCTGGGGCTTTGGGGAGAAGGTTGGAGGGGGATGGTCATTGGGGTCACTTGTAATCCTCACGGATTGATGAGCAACACAGTTATTGTTCCTTGCTCCTCTCAGATGAGAGTTTTGGGCTCTAGAATAGGCCTGAGTTTGCAAAACCTTTTGCCCGCTCCAGGTCACCCCCTTTTCTGCATTCAGAGAGGCTCTGGGCTAGACGGTCCTGTGAAATACTTGTAAGGGCACCGTCAACTTCAGACATCGCTCTGACTGCAGCGTATTGCGCCTTCTAGCCTCAGAGCAGCACCTCAGGTGACAAAAATGGAAGCATTGGCCCTGTGTGTGTGTGTCCTTTGCTTGTTTGTCTGTGCTTTGTGCCTCACTGGTGCCATTGCTTCCCTGGTCAACAATTTTCCTGTGCCTGTGGGTCGATCACACGGCAACATGAGAGTCAAACGCTTTTTAGAAAGACAAGCGGTCAAACGCCAAATTGGCCGCTGCATTTCTGCTTTATGAGAGATCGAGCCTGGTGTGAGGCATTTGACCAGATCAGCTTAAAGCCAGACAAAGGAGCAGGGCTAAGCATAATTAGTCCAAACCTTGACAATGAGTATTTACGATGGCCCTGATGCTTTCTCCATTAGGCCACTGGGACCCACCGCACCTCCCTACTAGGGATGTTAAATATCAGTGAATTGAATAGTTGATTAACCTCATGAATTCTTATCAATTACTCGACTATTTTATAGGCCCCAGGAGTGGGGCTGACAGCCAGTGCGCTCCAGTCCCGCTCCCGAAGATCCCCCTGATACTCCGTGCTGTTGCCTCTGATACAGACACAGCAGCGCGGGGTGCCAGGTGGGAGCTGGTCCACAAGGGGAGCCAGTTTAAAAATCACCTCCCCTCGCAGACCTGCAGCCTGTCACCCCGCACAGCTGCCTCTGATACAGACGCAGCGGTCTGGGGTGGCAACAGCTCTGTCCGGAACAAGACGGAACTGAGCTGGGCTGCCTGCCCACCTGGCTCCTAATACAATTTAAATGCAGAGCTGCAGCGGGGATAGGTCCTGGACCTGGTGTGAAGTCCGGAATCTGACGCGAGCCAGGACTGAGCTGGGCTGGCTGTCTGCCTAGCTCCTAATGCACTTTAAATGCAGATTGGGGTGGTGTCCTGGACCTAGCATGAGCCAGGACAGCTGGGCTGCTGACCAGCCTGCTAAAAAATGTACCGACAAGGGGGGGTGTATAGTCTATAGCACTGACATAAGCTTTTGCTTATTGGTTAATCGGTGAATCATCTACACTAATACATCCTCACTGCCTACCTTCAGCTGGTGCCAGCTCCAGTGCTGGGGAAGTTAGTGGTGGTTGACTGGCTGCTTCTGGGGTGGGCGGCTTGCTCTGGGGCTGCACTGCTCAGCACAGCCCCAGAGCAAGCCACCCACACTGCCCCTGCCCACTCCAGCCTGGGGGAAGCTAGGTGAAGGTGACAATTAGCTGGGGGCAGCCTCTGTTCCAGCCCAGGGGAGCTCTGCAGGCTGTTAGCCTAGTCGCTCTGTAAAGCCCTGCAACTCCGTGGCTGTGCGCTTTCTGTCTCCGGGTACCTGCTAGGAATGTACAATCCCCTTTAAAAAGTTAACTGGTTACATGGGGATCCTGCTGCAGCCTGGCCAGGTCCCCTCCCCCATGGGATCCCAGTTAACCGGTTAAACTTTAAACAGGATTTTATATCCATGGCAGATCTAAAGTGAATATCCATGGATTTGCAGGGCTCTGTAGATCGGCTAGGCCAAAAGTGCCCTCCAGAAGGGCCCCATGAAGCCTCAGAAATATGCCCATTATGCTAATGACGCCTGCCAAGCTCTCTCCTGGGCTGAAAACAGAGACTGCCACCAGCTGAAGATCCCATTAGGTTGGTGGGGAAGTTGGTGGAGAGGCTGCTGTTTGGCCCCGGCCCCTCTACAATATCGCGCTCACCCAGGCTCTCCATTGGAAAGGCTCTGCATCCCCTGGACAAACTGGGCCTCAGTTTGGCATCAGGTTCCCTACATTTTGGGCACTTGGATTCTGGGCACTTCAGGTATATTCTGAAAACAGGTTTGACATTGGAAAAGGTTCAGAAAAGGGCAACAAAAATCATTAGGGGTTTGGAATGGGTCCCATATGATGAGATATTAAAAAGACTTGGACTTTTCAGCTTAGAAAAGAGGAGACTAATGGGGGGATATGATAGACGTCTACAAAATCATGACTGGTGTGGAAAAAGTGAATGAGGAAAAGTTATTTACTTATTCCCACAATATAAGAACTAGAGGTCACCAAATGAATGTTTAAAACAAACAGAAGGAAGTTTGTCTTCACTCAGCACAGAGTCAACCTGTGGAACTCCTTGCCAGAGGATGTGGTGAAGGCTAGAACTTTAACAGGGTTCAAAAAAGAGCTAGATAGATTCATGGAGGTTAGGTCCATCAATGACTATTAGCCAGTATGGGTAGGAATGGTGTCCCTAGGTCTCTGGAAATGGATGACAGGGGAAGATCACATCAGGATTACCTGTTGTGATCCCTTCCTCTGGGGCATCTGATATTGGCCACTGTCGGCAGACAGGATACTGGGCCAGATGGACCTTTGGTCTGACCCAGTATGGCTGTTCTTATGTTCTTATCTTCAGGGATGGGGTGGCCCCGCTGTTTAATTTTTGGATGGAGTTCAGGACCAGCATTAAAAACTGCATTTCCACATCTTCCGGTGTCTGTGCAAGCCCATGCAGGTGAGTAGGTCAGCTCACTTCGCTCCACTCGTGTCTGAGGTTGTCTGCAGATAGGCAAACGGCCTTGGGTCCGTTCCTCTCGCTCTGGTTTTGTGGCTATCCGGCAGGCTCAGGAATCTGTTTAATTTTTGGATGGAGTTCAGGACCAGCATTAAAAACTGCATTTCCACATCTTCCGGTGTCTGTGCAAGCCCATGCAGGTGAGTAGGTCAGCTCACTTCGCTCCACTCGTGTCTGAGGTTGTCTGCAGATAGGCAAACGGCCTTGGGTCCGTTCCTCTCGCTCTGGTTTTGTGGCTATCCGGCAGGCTCAGGAATGCAGCAGTGTACCCTCTCGGCGAGCTGGAGTTTGGGAGCCCGGCTCCAAGGCAGGGGATGAGTTCAGGAGCTGTGGGATGAGTATAGAGGCCTTTGCCTCTGGTCTAGCACATGGCCCACCTGGGCTGCTGCATCAGGAAGAGCGAAGGCTGGGGGTGAGCTGGGTTGTTTGGGAGCACTTATTCTAAGCTGCCGTTTTCCTCTTTTCTAGGTTGACTCTTTCAGGGAGCGGATCACAAGTGAGGTGAGTGTCCACTCTACCTGGGATGGCGCGTGGGGGCAGAGTTCATGCCATGCTGGGCTCCTAGTTTTCTGCTGGATTGTGCCGTGATCTCTCAGGGTGCTCGGTGCAGACTGCTTGCTGGCACTCAGCACTTCAGTCATTCCCTGAGCGTGGACGGTCTGGAGCCCTGTTGTTGTCCAAGGCCTTGGCAGAGAGGAAGGCTGCCAGGACCTCTCAGCCTTCAGGTGGGAGCATTTGACTCCCTCTGGGGCTGTTTTTCCTGCCCTTGAGCAGAACTGGACGCTCGGCCTTTTGCAGTGCTCTCGGGAAAGGGGGCGCCCGGGACGCTGCTCTCATGTAACCATCTGCTGCTCTTTCTCATTCAGGCTGAAGATTTGGTGGCAAACTTTTTCCCAAAGAAGTTGTTAGAACTTGATGGGTTCCTTAAGGTAAGATACGTGCTATTGCTTGGCTCTCTACTTGCTTCTGTTTCTAGCCAGCAATCCTGCCATGGGGTGGGGAGTGTCTAGTCAGAGCGGAGGTGTGACGACGGGTTGGGGTCCCCTGTCTCCTGCACCCCCGAAATGGCACGAACAGACTTCACCAGCTGGTAGAATAGAGGTGGTTTATTGCTTCTCCAAGATACAGCACAGATGTCATCAGGTTACAGGGCAGGCCTGGGATGCCTCAGCCCCCCTTGATATGGGAGGGGGGTCTCGGCTTCTAAACCCCCCAGCCTGTTGCTGAGGCTGCCTCCTCCATGCTCCCAGACAGAAACTAACTAACCCTCCTCCAGCCCTGCCCCCCAGCCAGGGCAGCATCCACCTTCCTTTGTTTCTCCCCATGGGGGGTGGCTGGTCAGACAGGTTGAGACACCCTTTGCATAATGACTCATCCTGTTTTGTTGGGCCGTGGTACCAACTGCAGCCAGTGGGGGTTACCCCAGAGCCAGCAGCATAGAAACCAGCCAGGTACCCCCACTACATCACAGGAGGATAAAACGAGGAGGAGCAATGGCCCAAACGTGCTTTATACTTATTTGATTGCCATTAGCCCTAGACCCTCTATCTCCCATGGGTGACAGGGTTTCACTTGCTCTTCTCACCGCGACAGTGTATGGATCCCATCCACTGGGTACTGGATAGAAACCTAATGGGTCAGTCCCAAACTTAGTCCGTTTTCCTAATCCGCGGTCCCATCTTCAAACCCGCCTCTGTTCTCGCTTGCCGGGTGGGTGGATGAAACCTGAGAGGTGGCGTCTCCCATTTCCCAGCAATTAACAGGACAAAAGTGGTAGGATTCGTATGTAACTTCTTGTTCCTTTCCAGGAGCCCATCCTGAACATTCATGATCTCACCCAGATCCACTCAGACATGAACCTCCCTGTCCCTGACCCGATCCTTCTGACTAACAGCCATGATGGACTGGACGGGGTAAGATTCCTCCCTTGGCGACCTTAATGAACCCTGGTGGTTTGCTGTGTTCCTGACTAGGCCGTGGCTGCCCCGTGAGCATGTGAGGACTAGTCCCTTAAGCCCATGGATCCCTGCTGGAGATGGCGCCAGGTTTTGCTTTGTAACCCTCCCCCAGGTCCGAAATCAGGGCTGTGGAAGATGTTCTGTAAGGAATTCCCTCGGGGGTGTCACTCTGGCTCACGAGTGGTTTGGGAGTAAAACGTTTTGTTATGTGTATTTGTAGCCCAATATGAAAAAGAGGAAGCTGGAAGACTGCGAAGAGGCCTTGCAGGGTAAGAGTCCCCACGGCTCTGTGCTGTTGCCTGCCCACTGAGCCAGCGCGCTGTGCCTAGGGGTGCGAAACTGCACAAGCTCCCCCTGCTCCCTCCCGATTGCCGCTGCCCTACCCAGGCCGTCCTTTGGGAAGCAGGTGTGTGTGTGGCTGCTGGGCAGAACTTGGCCTCTCCCAGGACACTGGAATGGTACCCCTCAGGGCTGGCATGCTGCTGGAGGCGCAGGCTAGAACCACGCGACCTCTTTGTGGAAGGAGGGAGCTGCCAGGCCTCGAGCTGCATGGAAATAGAGGCAGCTCCTATACGAGGGTCACACAAGCTGTTTTCCACCCTGTTTCTCCTTCTTGGGTTTCTTCCTGGGTCTTGTGTCTCTTCCTCTTCCCATGTGGCTGCCTCTGTAATAGCCTGTTTGATATCCCTGTCCCCATTAGGGATGTAAGATCCCATTTAAAATGTTACCTGGTTAAACTATATAACTGGTTAATTGGCACACTGCAGCATGCTATGGGTGGGGGGGGGCCCACACTGGAGTAGTCCCCGCCCATGGTGTGCTACGGTAGGCTCGGATAGGCTGGAACAGCTGGTTAACTGGTTACCCCAGTAAATATGCCAGAGAGGCGATGCTTATCGGGTGCCCCGTTACTCCTTGTCCTCCCAAGTCCCCTGGCAATGCAGAGCTGGCTGTCTCTGCCGTGAGATGCCGTAATGACTGACCTTTCCCCACGGGTGCTAGGTACCAAAGTGTTTGTGATGCCCAACGGGATGCTGAAGAGTAACCAGCAGCTGGTGGACATCATTGAGAAAGTGAAGCCGGAGATCAGGCTGCTGATTGAGAAGTGCAACACGGTGGGTGTGGGGCTGAGCGGCGATCGGCCGTGTGCCTTCTGTGGCATGTCGGGTTTCTCAGGGACCTCCAATGAGTGGGCTGGGCCTCTCCCCTCCCTGTCGGATAAGTTCATGTGGGACGTGCCCCACCCCCCATTTCTGGTCTCTGAACAGGGTGCTGTTCTAAGGGGCAGGTGCTGGCGCTGGCCAAGAAATGGCATTTCCCTCAGACATGCTCAGAGCTGCCCTAGTGCCTCTTGGAGAGGGCGCTGTCGCTGCGGCCCTCCGCTCGTATCTTCCTGCTAGTCCTCTGCGCTGCCGGGCTTGCATCTCTGTGCGGCGCTAGGCACATCTGTGGTCAGTTTCCTGGCTGAGTGGGGCTCCAGGAAAACGGAGGGGCGGAAGCTTCCCGTGATGCTTGGGCAGATGTCATGGGATCCTAGCACATTGTCACAGGAGTGACCTTGACTTCTGGGCTTGCCCCCAATCATGGCATGAGCCAGGTGCTGAGACACTGCGTGAGAGTGTCTGAGGGCTCCTAAAAAGGTCCTGTTTAAAGGCAGGTCCGCGCCCTCAGCAGGGCTGGGCAAAATACGGCCTGGGGGCCAGATCTGGCCTGCGGACCACCCTGCCGGGACCCTCAGAAAGCATGTGCTGTTTAAAGTGCAGTCTGTGCAGCTCTCTGCTCTGCAGGGAGGGGGAAGTTTTGCGTGATCACCCAGCCCAATCCTCAGCTCCTATTGGCCAGAAACAACCAGCTAATAGGAGCTGAGAGATTGGTCATGGGGATGTGAGCAGTGCAAGCCTCTTCCCCCTCCCTGAGCTGAGCCCCATGGGCTATGTCTACACTGGTGGCTTCTTGCACAAGAACAACTCTTCTTGTGCAAAAACTTGTCGGGTGTCTACACTGTGCACACATTCTTGCGCAAGTAAATTTACAGTACAGCGTTGGAAAACAGGGCTTCTTCTGGAAGAGTTATTCCTCTCCCCACAAGGAATAAGCCCTCTTGTGCAAGAGCTCTTCCACAAGAAAGCAGGTTAGACAGGCAATATGGGGAGCTGCAGGGCTGCTGGGTTAGGTGAGCCCTTCCCAGCCAGAGCCTGCCCCTAGCCCCTCCTGCATCCCAACTCCCTCCCCCAGGTCGCCATCCAAACCCCCTGCCCAGGTCACAACTCCCTCCCAGACCCTGTTCCCTCTCCGGCCAGAATCCTCTCCTGCACCCTAATCCCCTGTCCCAAGTCACCACCCACACCCTCTGCAGTCTGCATCCCTTTTCCCCTTCTCCCAGGTCACCGCTCCCTCCCAGACTTTGCACCCCCTCCCCTCTCCTGTACCCATACCTCTTCCCTAACCCTGCACCCCAATCCCATGACCCAGGTCACAACCCCTCCTTTGCCCAAATCCCCTCTCAGACCTCCTGCACCCCAGCCCCTTACCCCGTGCGCCCTTCTGTGTGTGCCCAACCTCCATCCTAAACCCCGGACTCCCATCCACAGAAAAGTGCGGCCCTTGACCACTTTCCAAAATCTTGGAGTGGCCCCCCCACCAAAAATTATTGCTCACCCCTAGCATTCAGTCACAATGTCTCTCTCTCCTTGTAGGTCAAAATGTGGGTGCAGCTTCTCATCCCCAGGATAGAAGATGGAAACAACTTTGGTGTTTCTATTCAGGTAAGGGGACTTATGGCCAGACACAAGGGCAGCTTGGGCTAAGAGCCATCCACTCCATTGGACAGTTCGGGGCAGTCTCCCCGGGCCCATGCTTCAGGGGGACAGGTGGCCTGGGTGACTCAGGTTCCGGCAGCTGCGGCAGCAGCCCCTCTCTGCCTCACCAGCTCCTGGTGTTCCTTAGGAGAAAAGGTGTTGGGGGCTTCAGAGAGAGGCAGAGTGAGAGTGGAGCATATCCCCCTAGGGCATCAGATCTACCTGGCACTGCCTCCCCAGGGCTCTCTTTGAGGGGTAGTTTGGGCTACTTGAAACTGAATTCTTTCCTGGCACCGGTGGAAGAGGGAGGGACTGAGTGCCTGAAATCCCTGCTCTGCTCAGGGGCCTGGGAGCTGGCCATAGACTTGCAAGAACCGGTAAGGCTGAGCCACGTTTGAGGATGGCAACGTGCTGCTGGCAGCCTGCTCCACCCAGCCTTGCCTGGCAGGATCAAGATGATTGTGTGAAGCTTCCTTCCCTGAGTCTCCCAGGAACTGGGCTGCTGAGCAAGGCAGACGACAGTCTTAGGGCCCTGTGGCTAGTGCAGGGGGTCAGGCTGGCCAGGACTTCTGGGCTGCTGGTCCCTGCTGGCTCCTCTGTGTAACCTTCACCGGCTGCTAAACTTGAGCCTTGATTCTGTCCTGACGAGTAGATGGAGCGACTTTAAAGCTGGTCTTAGATTGAGCTGCGTGATCATGGCTGGCGGCACACGTGGGTGGGGCTTGAGGTTCTTGCTTCTGCTATGAATCACGCTGCATCCTTGGCTCCCGTGCAGGAGGAGACGGTGGCTGAGCTGCGGACTGTGGAGAGTGAGGCAGCTTCCTATCTGGACCAGATTTCTAGGTAGGTGGGAGGTGGCTTTGAGCGCTTCACTGGATCCCTCCCTAGGGAGGCTAAGTTTGAGCAAGGACTTGAGCTCCCTGGTTAAGGCAAGGTCTGAGAAGGCTGCATCTGTTAAATCCACCCTGTTCCCTTCCCTTCCAGATATTATATCACAAGGGCAAAGCTGGTTTCCAAAATAGCAAAATATCCTCATGTGGTAAGTGGAGCATCTCGTTGCTGAGCATTTGGTGGCGTTGGCGAGAATTGTTTTTCTGTTTCTGTGGGTAGCCCTCTCCTGGATGTTCCCAGGAGTCCTGGAGGATGGGCAGAGGGGCTTTGTGGTGGCTAAGAGCCCTGGGAAGGAGTATGCGGAGCTGGAAGGCTCTGGCTTCTCTCAAGAGAAGGGGACACTGATAATAAATACAAATCAGATGTTAGTAATTGTAGAAAATGGATAAAGGATGCAGAAGGGCACAAGGAGAAATCTGTGGCCAGCAGAGCAAAGGATAATATTGAAGAGTTTTAAAATATATGCGGAACAAAAAGCCCTCCAGTGGTATTGGTCCATTACTAGATGGTTATGGTGGAATAATCAACAATAACGCAGAAAAGGTGAAAACGTTGAATAAATATTTCTGTTCAAAATTTGGGGGGTGGAGAAGGCAGAAGATGCATTTTCATCCTGTGGTGAAAACCCTCTTTTCACTCTACTGGTGTCCCTGTAGGGTGCTAAGCAGCAGTTACTAAAGTCAAACATTTTGAAATCAGCAGGTCCAGATAACTTGCACCAGGAGTTTTAAAAGAGCTGCCCGAGGAGCTCGCTGGACCTGCTGATATTGATTTGTTTTTCCATAAGTCTCGGAGCACTGGGGAAGTTCCGGAGGACTGGAAGAAAGCTAATGTGACGCCAGTATAAACAGGGTAAATGGGATTACCCGGGTAGTTACAGGCCTGTCAGCTTAGCATCAGTTCCAGGCAAGCCAATGGAATGGCTGATTTGATTGCTAATGACCTGGAAGATAATGTAACTGATGCGCATCTCTATGTGTTTACAGATTTAAAAAAAAAAAAAAAACTTCAAACTAACTTGGTGTATTTCTGTAAGATGGCAGGTGTGGTTGATAAAGACTTAGACTTCTGTAAGAGGTTTGCCTTGGTGCCCCGTGACATTTTGATTAAAAAAACTAAATGATTAAAATGAACACGGCCTCACATGAAATGGATTAAAAACTGGCTGGCTGCTGGGTCTCAAAAGGTAACTGTGCAGGGGAATTGTCATTGAGCAAGTCTGTTTCTAGAGGGAGCCTGATGGGATCAGTACTTGGCCAGAAACATCTTTGTGAATGACCTGGAAGAAAACCTAAGGCCACTGCTGATAAAGTTTGCAGATGACCGAAATAATGAAGAGGACAGGTCACTTTTGCCAGAGGAGGCTGTGAAGGCTAGGACTAGAACAGAGTTTAAAGAGAAGCTACATAATTTCATGGAGGTTAAGTCCATAAAAGGCTATTAGCCAGGGGATAAAATGGTTCCTTGGCCTCCCTCTGTCAGAGGCTGGAGAGAGATGGCAGGAGACAAATCGCTTGATCGTTGTCTTCGGTCCACCCTCTCTGGGGCACCTGGTGCTGGCCACTGTCGGCAGACAGGATACTGGGCTAGATGGGCCTTTGGTCTGACCCAGTACGGCCGTTCTTATGTTCACTGATTCAGAGCTCTCTGGATCCCTTGAGCCCACTGTAGCAAGCAGACGTGGTCTGCTTTAATGTGGATAAATGTACCTCTGGGACCCAAGAATGTAGGGGAGCAGTGACCCAGGAGATTTCGGGTTCGTGGTGGATGAACAGTTGAATATGGCTCCCCGTGGAGCTAATGCCGTCCAGGGATGCATAAACAAGGCATTCTTGAGATGGAACTGAGAGGTTCTATTACCTCTGCACTGGCACTAGATTAACTGTTATAGGGACCCTATGGCCAGCACTAGGGTTGGCAGCTGGAGGATGTTGATAAATGACTCGGAGCCCCGAGAATGACTCGGGGGTTAGAAAACCCGCCCCGTAGGGAGCAACTCCGAGCTCCGTCTATTTAACTTAGCAAGGGAAGGTTCCAGAGTGACTGGAACACAGTCCAAGTGCCTGCCTGGGAAATGACGGGATTGATAATGGGATCTTCCGCCTAGAAGAGGCAGGTCTGGGGGGATGCAGTGGCAGGAAGCTGAAGCTAGACATGTGTAGGCTGGAACTAAGTGACATGCTTTTAACAGTGGTAGTGACAGTCGTGGTGGGTTCTCCTTCACTGGTGATTTTTAAATTGAGATCGGATGTTTGTCTAAAGTCTTGGCTCCAGGGATGTCTGGGGGGCAGTTCTCTGGCTTGTGTTATACAGGGGGTCCGACCGCAGCCTCGCAGTAGCCTCATTGGACCCTTGCATGCCTAATGTTGGACAGGAGAGAGCCCCTCCGTCACTACAGACATCCAGGGGCAGCCTGGCGTGCAGGCTACTCACCGTCACGTTCTCCCTTCTCTGTGCAGGAGGATTACCGCCGCACAGTGACAGAAATTGACGAGAAGGAATACATTAGTCTGCGCTTAATCATCTCCGAGCTGAGGAATCAATATGTGAGTGAGAGACGGGCCCCCATGGAGAAGTGCCCTTGGGATCTGTCCCACCATAGAGCCTTCAGAGGGAGCTGGCCTGGGCCTCTGTTTCCCCTTTGTTCTTAGCAAGCAGAAGTAACGGCAAGTGGCTGGGCTGTGTGGAGTGTGGCAAGGCCAGGTCCATGCAGTTCATTGTGCTCTTTGTTGGGACCCTTCCACCCCAACCTTTCCACGTGGCGTAGGCTCTGTCCTGGGCTCTAACTCGCTCGTGCTCATCTGTGGGGCTTGCAGCAGCTGGAACATGCTGGTGTCTTCAGAGTGCAAATAGGCCGGCAAGGCGTTTCCTGCCGTACATGGGGGCAGTGGCTGGTGGGCAGGCAAGAGAGAGAGGCCAATCCTCAGGTCAGGCCTGTGCTTATGGTGAGACTTAAATCAGGGACTTCTCCTCCCGATGCGCATCCATGGTCTGTTTCTCTCCTCCCCCAGGTCACTTTGCATGACATGATCCTTAAAAACATCGAGAAGATTAAGAGGCCTCGGAGCAGCAACGCCGAGACCCTCTACTAAGTGTCAACGTTGGAACTTGAGAACTGTTCAGTCCACTAAAGACCGTCATTGCCTTGGTTTGTTACGTGACTATCGAGATGGGAAACTGGCTGGAAATAGTATTGCACTCTTAGTTAAACCCTAAAGAAACCCTCCCCCCGTTCCGTGATTAGCTTTGTTCAGGTTTCAAAGGAACTCTTCCCTAGCATAGTAATTAGCACCAAGCAGGCCGCTGCCTGGGGTGTGCAGATTACTCAGAGTGAGTGGTCGCCAGGCGGGAACACTCCTTCAAGCCTTTCTTCCTATCTAGCTAGGAGTTGGATGAGAGACCAAGCCCCGGGGTGCCCCCCATCTGTCAGCTGCAGGGTTTCCTTGGGGTCCGTGGGAATGGAGGAGATGCAGCATCTTCAGCGCTAGACCGAGCCCACAGAGTGGTGCTGGCTGCTTTTCAGCACCATCTCTGAGCGAGCCCTCCTCTTCCAGTCCTGTTATGCCGATTTCTGGTGAGGGTGGGAGGAAGGGCAGGCTCCCCCGGCCCAGGCTGTAGCCACGCTCGGCAAAGTGCCACTGGTGATGTTTAGGTTAGAGCAAGCCAGGAAAGAGCTGTCTTAAGTTAGACATCCCCCTACCCCCATTTCCCCTCTCCCTTGAGAGGGCCTAGATCAGTGCAAGGGCTCTAGGAACACCAGCTACAGCCCACTGGGGTGGCAGGTTCAGCGCCTGGGCAGCTTTTGCTCCCATTTGTTGCTTTCCTCTTGGCTCTGCTCACCCAGTTTTCTTGGCTCGAATCAATGTGGATCTCCCATCGCCCTCAGCGTGAGGCGCTTCTGTCCAGAGTGAGGTCAGGGAGCGGCCCAAGCCCAGATTTTGAAGTCCTCCCAGTCTCCACTACTGCTAAGGAGTGAGCGGGTGCCCTGCGGAGCGTCTTGGCGGGGCAGGGTGCGGCCGGCTGGCTGCGATGGCTGATCTGTTGGGATGAGGACGGCCACCAGCAGGTCAGCATCAAAACCCCCCTGTCCCACGAAAGGTACCTCGCGTCCTTCTCCTGGGCCCAGGAACCCCTCCAAAGCCGCTGGAACGTTTCATGGTCCATTGCAAACCCCATGGGAATGATCGGTTACGGTGTCAGTTGTTGTACGTGTGAGAAACGGGCTCCCAACACTGCAGGCTCCTTCTGCGTTTTCTTATTTATGGTATTTTTACTTCCCACCCTCCTTCAGGGGAATGCTGGGTCCGCTGGGCCTGGGGTCTCACTGTCACACCTGTAACTTCTTGTGCAGTAGCCTCATAGTCGTTAGTTGTGCGCCATGGAATGAACGTCTTCCCCCCCCCCCCACCCCCCGCTGACGAAGCCACCTTGTTTCTTGCTGGTTTCCTGGGGGTGGCTCTGAGTGTGGAGGCCCCCCGGCCCTTTCGATAAGACTCCTGTGTCGTTGTTTGTAGTAAGTCCAATCTTCGTCTTCCCGTTAATAAATATTCAGTAACAAACCAACCGCGTCTTCGCTGCTACCTAGGAGCAGCGCCTTCCCTGTGTGGTTCTTTGTACGGATTCCTTTCCGCGGGCCGGACTGTCCGCCTCGCCTCTCCCGCTGAACGTCTGTAAAACTTTTACCATGTTAAGACATTAAAATACAGGAACTTTGAATTCGTAAGGAGGACCCTTGTGTGCTGCTGCGTTGTCAGACGTGCTCTGTCAGAGGCGTTGCCTCGCCCCTGTCCCAGGCTGGCCCTGCCTCTCCCCTCCACTTGCTCCTACTCCTTTGCCTTCGCCATTTGTCCAGCCAGTCTGCTGCTGGCTGGAGCCCTGAGGTCCATGAGCATCCGTTGACCTACGACCGAGGCCTTGTGTTTTACACAGGCCAGTGTTCCTGTGTGGGATGAATGGAAGCCGGGCCAGAGAGCCTTGTGCTTTCTGCTTCCTTAGGCCATGGCTGCCGCTCTGTGTGGTGAGCGCCGCCCATATCAGGGCTGTCAGGCGTAGTGGTGAGGACTGGATTAACTCTGCACGTGGGAGAAGCTTGTGCTGCTGCCGCCGCCTGCTGCTCTAGAGATCTGTCCTCTTGCCCTCGGCTGGAGCAGCGCCCCTGGGTGGTAGAGGCTGCCAGTCCGCTTCCTGCGCTGAGTTCAGAGCCACGGGGCTCTGCTCCTTTTCCATCCCATTTCCAGCTAGCAGCCCATCCTGGGGCCAGAGACCTGCCCCCTCCTTTTCCCTCCCCCACTCCCTGAGGGTGTGCCCCCTCCTTTCCCTTCCCCCACTCACTCTGGTGGTGGCTGATTTCCAAGCTCCCTCTCCCATGAGCTCTGAGGGAAGAGGGGAGCTCTCTCGCTGGGCTCCCTCCTTGGCGATAGGAAGCGGCCGCCCCCTCCACCTCAGCGTGGCCTCAGGTGTTCGCCAGCTGCCACCTCCTGGGGCTAGGTGAGGACGCGGAGGGTCTGCGAGTCGAAAGCTGGTTTACTCAGGCTGGGCCAGGGGGCTGCTCTGTTCAGAAGCCGACTTCTCCAGAACGCACTCGGGCTCCCTGGCAGAGCCAGCGGCCACTAGGTGATGCTCTTCCTCCGGCCACCGCACAGCGCTGCTCCAAGCCCGGAGTGGCGGCTCCTGTGAGAACACACTGGGTCCGGTCACAGAGCTTAGGAACCCCTGAGGCATGGAGGAAAAACGGCTTCTGCAGCGTCGCCATTTCCTGCTGCCTGGGAGACCCCTGGGGCATGGGGCAGCGCTCCCATAGGCATGCTCTGGCCAGGCCCCCTTTCCCACAGGAGCAAAGGCCTGTGGCTTCAAATGAAACCCACTCATTTGCTGTGAGGCTGGGCTCGGCCTGGCGTGGGGCTGTGTGAAATGTGCCTGCACAGCTCTGCCATGACAATCAAAAGGCCCGGCGGCGGTGGGTCTTGGTCAAGCTGCTTGTGCCTACGCTGAAGCAGCTCCCGTAGGCGGGCACCCTCTCGCTACTTCGCCCTGCTCACTAGCGCCTGAACGGAGGCGTGTGTGGGGAAAACGCCCCTGATTACCCAGCTAACGAGCAAAGGGGTCACAAAGCCCAGCGGCCCCTTGCCCCGTCCCCACAAGCAACGTGGCGAGGGCGAATGAAAATCAAGCAAGCTTGTTTGGACACTTGAAAATAATGAAACCAGGTCCCAGGACACAACAGGAGCAAAGAACTTAAACCTCCCTGGAGCCGGGTTCTGGCTACCCGTCGACAGGCCCGGGGAGTTGAATGGAGAGCTTTGCACAGGGGGCTGGCTTTTGGATTGCTTC